GGTCCAGAGGAGGGCCATGAAAATGATCAGGGGGATGGAACAGCCCTCCTGTGAAGAAAGGCTGAGAGAGTTGGGGTTGTTCCACCTGGAGAAGAGAAGGCTTTGGGGAGACCTTATTGCAGCCTATCAGTACTTAAAGCGGGCTTCTAAAAAAGATGGCGGCAAACTTTTCAGCAGGGCCTGTTGTGACAGGACAAGGGGGAATGGCTTTAAACTAAAGGGGGGTAAATATAGACTAGACAGATGGAAGAAATTTTTTACGTTGAGGGTGGTGAAGCACTGACACAGGTTGCCCAGAGAGGTGGTGGATGCCCCATCCCTGGAAACATTCAAGGTCAGGTTGGACGGGGCTCTGAGCAACCTGATCTAGTTGAAGATGTCCCTGCCCACGGCAGGGGGGTTGGACTAGATGACCTTTAGAGGTCCCTTCCAACCCAAACTATTCTATGATTCTATGATTTCACTGTGTAATGTTATTTACTCCAGTTAGGATAGCGGAAAGAGAGGATTTCTCCTCTGGCTCAGCAAGAAACAGCCAAAGAGTCCTCCTCCTCCTCCTTTCACTCAGCGTCTTTCCCTCCCCCCATATAATAATTTTAGCATACGTTGACAGCTACAGACCTATTAAAAACTGAGACACTCTAGTACAGCAAGAAAAAATATTTTGTTTACCAGGTCATAAAGTATACCTACAAAGACAAACTCAAAGAAAGCATAGCCACTAATACTACAGAAATGGCTTTTCTAATTGTAATCTCTTCCTTCTTAGAAAAGTCATATTGTCCTCCAGGATGCTGTATTCTCCTTACCATATGGGCAAGTTAAAAACATGATAAGCATGGCACAGAGACAAAACATCTGGCTTTCATCCCTACTTCTTTTTGCAACCACCCATAGGAAATACGTTACGTGGATGCTAAATTTAACTAGTGGCAAACCAAAACACCCTCTTCTCCCAGAACTACAGACAGGAAACAGAACGCAGTGAGCATGCATCTTCAGCATCAGCCCTCTGCTGTTAACAAACCCTCTGACCAACTGAGCTACAAATGCCCTCACTGCCCTGAACCTTAAGGTCTCTTCTGCCTCCCCTAATTGCAATTCTGTTAGGTGCCAGGGTTCTTAAAGCCTCCTCTTGTAGCAGCTAGAGTTAGAGGATGTTAGCAGTTCCCAGGAGATGTAAAACACCTCGCTTACTGTTAGTATTCCCACCAGACCAATTGAATTTGTACATCCCTGCTATTATTTAAAGAAAAAACAGGAACTGGGCTGCCTGAGCATCTGTTGCTGTAGGGACGTACAAATGAACAAAAGAATGGTAGTCATTAGTCCCCAGCAATTGCACGGACCTCATTGCCATTGCCCCTCCTCTGCACTTATCCTCTGGGCCTGGCAACCCTCTCCTTCTTCAGCCCTCTCCTTCTTCACTTTCCATTACCTCCTCAGACCCCAGTCACTTCCCCCTTGCTGCTGCCGCCGCCAACTCTGGTTTGCACCAGTGCCCCAACTCCAGCAAGACCAGCATGGAAATCCAAGGTAAAGCAGCCCAGCCCAGTTAATCAGCTTGAGTTTCACTCCACACCTCACTAATTGGTAATGAAGAGATTACCTTATACTCAATCTTCAAGCACTCAAAAAATGTTAGAGGATACTGAACATATATCTATCTAAATGATTAAACAATTTTTGCTGTAGGTTATTTGCTAATAATTTTTCTGATCTCCCCCTTTTGTCCTACATTCAGCATTTTGTTTTAAAATAATGAGTGTAATATATTTGTAAAATTTTAAAATTTGCCTATTGTAGTTGGTGCTTGGTGCATGATCTTTTGTACACAGCGAGGAAAATCTAAGCTCCTCTTGAAAGATGATAACATTGTTAATAACCTTTTCTGCTGACAGTTCACTTACAAACACTACCAACTGAGCTAACTAACTAATATACTATCTTTATGATATTTCAAATTAAATTCAGTGTTCTAAAATCACAGGATATAAATCTCATATTTCACATTCTATAAAGCAGACTTTGTTTCATATGCATCTATTAGCACTACAGCAAAGATCTTGAGACAATTACCAAAGTCATGCTAAAAATGTGACGAAATATAACTGCACAAGATTCTGTGGCCAATGTCTCCATAAATTACTACTATTCTGTAACTCTGAAGTGTGCTACTAATCTATGTTTTCAATCTCTCTAGGAGATCTCTCAATTATAGGATCTTCTGCTTACATTTAAAATTGTTGATTCAGTCTAACTCAGCCTTACTGCTTCAATAACTTATTTCAAAATAATTTTTCTAAAGCAAAGATCATCATACTTCAATATAGACCCTTAAATATAAGCCTAACATTCTTCTAAAAGAAAATAAATACTTAGGCAAGTTATATCCACCCAGCCAAAATGTTTTATAGCATTTATTTTGTATGACATTATTAAATTTTGTTATATGGTTAAAATATTACAAATACTGTGAACTTGAGTGAGAACAGAAAGGTAAATTCCTGAGTCAAGAGAATCCCAAACTACTTCAAACTACAAAATGCCAAACTACACAATTAGGAAATGCATATATTTTTTTCCACAAACTACCTTAAAGTCTTGTATTTTGTCCCATGTGCATCGCTAGAAAAGTACTTAATTTTGTAAGAGAGGAATAGACAGTCAAACAAATAATGAAGAAGCATTCAGATTCCTCTCCAAAAACTGTGAATACTTGCCTTGCCTTCTTCAATGCCAGATGCTAACACTCAGATAACGTGACCTGGAGGTCTACAGGACCAAATCACGCCAGCAATCTATTCGCAAATGCACAAAACACAAGATACACTTGCAAACGACAACCACCACCACACACGCTCCCTGTTGATGCTACTTTGCACATTCAGCTCTTGGCTTGCTGGAAAGCCAGGTCTGTATTGCAGCTGATAAACGCCACCTACTGGAATAAATCCAGATAAAACATTATTTCTTGAAAAAGAAAAAGCAGTAGTTGTTTAAATCTGCCACGAGATCTTTTGAGAGATATTACTGCGATAAGCCCTCAGCAGAAATAGGCTTGCTGCTGTAACTTACTATGACAGAAGCCTTTCACTAGCTACAGAGGTTTATTCAGCCAGTGTAGCTCCTGAACTCCTCAGCCATCAGGGGACAAGCAAACGAACACTCAGAGAAGAACTGGCTCACAAATTTCAGAAGGATATGCTAGAGATCAGAGTGTATAACTGCCAATCTTCAACACTCCTCTTTGAAAAGAGAAGTGGAAAGGAGAAGAATATATCTGAAAAATTAATTAACTGGCAGTGATTTTATGGTAGCATCATAGCTGTAAATAAGTGAAACGGATCACAGAGATTCAGATAACCTCAGTTATTTACAGAGAGCATACACACTTGTACTTAATTTAGGAACAAAAGGACAATGGGAGTTGATACCTTTGCTCATACCTCTGTGCCTCTCTCACCTAATAATCCAAGAAAAGCTCCTTACAGCTCGCTCTTAGGGCATCATTCACAGTGCTCCACAGTCTCCTCATTACTTGTCTTTCATAGACACATAAGTCTCCATAAAACAGACACTGAAAACAAACACTACTCACAGCAAAAAAATGCCTGTGCAAGACGTCCTTAAGCTCCTTATATGCCCCTCCTCTTTCAAATACAGAACTAAATTACTACATTTAATCTACATTTAGCTATGTGTACTATGCTCAAAAACTGGGAAGGCAAACAAATGCATGGGTTTTTGGAGATGTTTAGACCAACAGAACACTCATTTGGTGGGGCAGAGAAAGGGAGCGAGTCCTCAGTTCTATTTATGCAGTTTCCATTAAGATGTCACTAGATGAAAGAAAAAGCTTTCCTAAACCCAAGGTGACTATCCTCAGCATTAAACTTTGTCACGCCACAAACCTTGCAATTCCCTTTTGCATGCAAAGGTAACTTTGACTGAAAAAGTAAAAACTACTCTCACTTGCTCCTTAGCATGGCAGTTGGTGTATTTTTTTGCTAGTTGAGAGATGTGGGTTTGAGCCTCTTCAGGAAATTAATCTTAGTGTCTCAGGCAATAGCTATATCACCAACTGGCACAGCTCACCAGGAGCAGGTCTCTGTAAAGCAACAGAGTTGGTAGCGAGTACCTGACACCCACACTTACACGTTTCCAGAGTTTTACTTTGGACTAGCTCTAATGCGGTTCCCTGCTAGTGGTTGGAGCACACTGGTGTCCCACTGGACCACATCTTCTATTTTAGATCCATCTGAAGGAAATCCAGTTCACATGCTACAAGACTACTCCACAGTGCAAATCACAGGGCAGTAATTGGTGATGACTGAAAGACACTCATCCTTTTTTGTTGATATTAGAAACCACTAGGTGGAACACCTTGATTGTAAAGGTGTAAACAAACAAACAAAAAAAACCCAATGGTGTTGAAAGTGGTAGAGAAAAAAAGTTCTAGATTTCTTTTCCCCAATAAATGAAAAATAGCTTACCTGAGTCTGGAGTCTTTAAAGGTGTCTAAGTATGAAGGATAGTTCCAAGTAACATTACTCCCCTTACATCGCAGTTCTATGCTTTGTCCTGCAGACAGGCTTAAAGTGGCAGCTAGTTTCTGGAAATGACCTTTATCCATCACCTGTGTCAGTATGGACTGGGACTTCAAAGAGGAGTCAGCAGATTCTCTCTCCCTCATTTTGGGGGCTTTGGGTTTTACTTTTTTGTTGATAGGTTTAATTTTATTTTCCCCAGGTTCTTTTGGACGCTTACTCTTTGCAGGCTGTCCAATAACTAGAAAAAAAATGAAAAAAGGCAATGTTACTGATTAGAAGAAGGTTATATAGTCTTCTTGGGAAAAAAAAAATCTTCCTTATTATCACAGAGAATAAAGTTTTGTTCCTCCTATAAAGGATTCATAAAAATGAGTAAGAGTTAATGTCCATAAGTTTCTGAAGTCTCTGGCATGACCCGTTTTCCTGGGGAAAAAGGAAAAAAAAAGAGCTTTCAACAACATGTGGAAAATCTATACTTATATTTCACATCAACAGACAAATATGAAAGGTATGAGAATGGGAAGGGGAAGAAATACAGCATTTCTATCTCCAGTTCCTTTTGTCATTTCTACCTCATGTCATTGCCATTTAGTACGCAATGCTGCACAAGTTTTCCATCTTCATAAGGATGTCACCGCCCCATCAATTCTGCATAACCTTTTCACACATCATGTTACCATAAGAGACACCTGAAGAAAAACTGGCAAGTGTGGAACTTCATGACGACTTACAAAATACTGATAGTGATGCAGTGTTCTTCTTTTACAGTAAGTACTGTGAAAATACAAATGGCGCTGAAGTCACTTGAAGGTAGTATTCAATTCATCATTTCTCTGTAACTGCCATTTATATTGACAGTCCAGATAAAAACAGAATCTTATTTAGAGGCAAATGGTAAGAGATTTCATTACCTGCTAGAGACAACAGGGATGCCCAGCTGCCTTTAAAAACAAGCAAAGGAAACAGAAAGGAAAAGTGAGGTGTCTCAAATTAAAAAGTAAATATAAAAAAAACCCCAAAAATCAGGATTTCCCACTTTAACCGACAGCAGGAAGCACAGATCTTTTGTGAGATGAGCCTAAATCTGCTGTCCCCAGACACCAAAAACTCCACTAACTGTGCCTGACAGCTAATTCACACTGAACATGGCTTTTCCACATGAAAATGCTCGGGTATTTTATTGTACAAATCAATCAACAAGCTCCCTCTGGAATTAAAAATAGCCCTGCTGTATACTGAGTTAGCATGTATTAAAACTGATACTGGCTGCAGTATGAACAGCAGCACTTCCAGTCTCCTGCCACTGATGGCTCCTGGGACATTCCTCATACCCCAGCTGGACACCTTGCACGGCTTCAGCCTTCCACTTCTCCAGGCTGATGTACGCCAACTCTCTTTTAAATGGCACAGAGCCTTCTGAGCACAAATTTAAAAAACAGGAAATTCAATCTGAACGTAAGAAAACGCTTTCTACTGTGAGGGTGGTCAAGCACTGGCACAGCTTGCCCAAAGAGGTTGTGGAGTATCCTTCCATGGAGATATTCAAAACTCAACTGGACACGGTCCTAGGCAACCTGCTCTAGGTGGCCCTGCTTGACCATGGGGTTGGACTGGACGATCCCAAGAGGTCTCTTCCAACCTCAGCTATTCTGTGATTCTGTGATCTCAGCATGCTGAGTAATGCTGCCTGTGCAGGAGCATTTGCCTTCTGGTCTCACGTCAACTAGAAAAGAAACTGGAAGACAGCAATGCTGTAGTCTTAATTTGCCTTAATTTGCCCAATGCGTTTTGAACTCTTTTGGACTCTTACGTAGTAAGAATAATTTTTTTGAGAGGCACACATCCAGTTACTAAGGTACATCCCTCCCCTGCCACACAAACAAACATTTTTCCCAGTTCTACATTATAAGCGTTGATGAAGTTGAGTGCAAAGATGCCTCACCACCTCAAAATGAGCCATAAACTGAAGAGATCAAATAGAAATGCCTTCCAAAGATCATGACATTTTAAGATAAAGTAACATTTTATAGTTTCTGGAAGGGAGAGTGAAACAAATATTTATGCTTCTTCCAGTTTTTCTTCCCACCTGTAATGCCACTGGCCACGCAAAATTGACAAACTTGGGGGAATGATGATAACAAAGGAGAATTTCAGAGAAGTGGTTGCTGCCTCCCATAGAAGACCATGAAGTAGGGTTTTTCTAGTTACTCAGAGCACATTACCCTAGCGAGTGACACGGTGCATATATTACAGGGGCAAACAGTTGGTGCAGGAGCACTTTTTCCCTGCATTACATTAGAAAGGCTACAGTGGGTCAGGCCAAATGTCTGCCTAGCCCACATCTTTGCACTCACACCACCCAGTGTCAGATGTCAACCAGGGAACAGGACAACCATCTCTGCTCCTTTAATACCAGTCTCCTAGCTTCCAAGAACCTTTAGCTCAAGGGATCTGTGAACCACGGTTGCAATCGTTTTATTGCCCTTGGTGGATTTTTCCTTCATTAATTTGTCTGGTCAATTTTCAAAACTACACAAATTATACATAAATATTAGATGCCTCCTAGTTTTTGTATTAAGTGAATAAATATCCATTGTTTCTCCAACAACCTTTTCTATTGCACTTGTACTTCTACGGAACTTAAGTGTCCTTCAAACATATCCTTTCTGAACTGACAAGTCCTACTCTATTTAATTGTTCCTTGTAAAGAATATGCATCTTATAACAGTTCAGTGACATCACATTTGGGTAATGGAAAGATGACAAAAGCAGACTGTATACCAGGTTCAAGATATGGTCAAATCACAGCTGTACAAATTAGTGGTGTCTTCTTTCCTGTCTAAATAGCTCATTACTTTTCAAGAAAGCAATATTAGGAGCTGACTTTCTCTAGAACAATCAAGTGTAACTCCAAGATCACTTTCCTAAGTAGGAATTATTGGTTAGAAATTCCTAAGTAGAAACCCATCGATGTGTATATGAAGCTAGAATCATTTGTGTTACTTTGCATCTGCCAACACAAAATTTCAAGTTCTATTTTCACTGCCCAGTCTTTCAAAATGGAGAGATTCTTCTGCAGCTCTTTACTGACAGTTTTCTTTTCTTTTAGCAGATTTATAAATATGCTGAAAACCACGTGCCTTACAAGATCCATGTGAAATTCAACTGGATAAAAACAATTCTACGCCCATATTGCAAAAACTGAAGATTAACTCCTACTCTTTGTTTTCTATTAGTTACTACTCCATTAGAGGTCTTCCCTTGTGTCACAGCACCTTGGTTCCCATGGAGTCTTTAACAACAGGCTTATCAAAAGCCTTTGGGAATCCATCAACCAACTCACCCATGGCCACTCTTATAAAGTCCTTCAGAGAACTTCAGCAGATCTGCAAAACAAAACACACTTCTGAAGGGGAAAAAAAAAGGGGGGCAGCCATACAAAGCCATACTGACTCTTCCGTAATTCATGCCTTATTCAGGAGCTCAATTTACAGAATACAGAGATCTGGCTTTGTGCCTGCACCTCCCTCAAAAATCTTAAAATACTAGCGTATTCCCATTTCCCTGGAAAGGAGTAGTTATGTGATAGGTTATGCACCTGAGTTAAGACTTTAGCGATTTCAGATTCAAATTTCTTTTAAGTAAGTCTCAGGTGTATATCATCAAATCACGGCACTTAAACACTGTTCATGTTGTTGATTTTCTCTAAAGCCAATTCTTTTGGCATATTAATGAGACGTCCTATAATAATTCTCCCCATAGAAAGATTCTGTCTCGGAGCCTACTATTACAGTGCTCAGTAGGATACTGCACTCAAAGTTTCTGATATGCTTATCATGTCACCATTTTCCATTAAAACCTCCCTAAGTACCTCCATAGTGAACATGGGTGCACACAAATAATTAAGTTTTTAATTTAAGTTTTACTTTCTGTAGGTGTTCTTTCTTATCCCCCGTTCTTACCAGCCTTACAAATTTTGTGGCCATCTCTCCCTGCCCCACCCCAGCACATCAGAAGAAGAAAAGTATTTATGGCTGGTTTTATCCCTTTTGAAAGCTGTTTCTCAAACTCTTTTTGTCTGCCTTATTCTGTTTTTTATATTTAACCCATATGTGAGTTAATGAGCCTCCTCATCTTATGTAATTCCCCCTTCTGAAATTAAACGCATCAGTCGTTTCTTTGGCTTTTATTATTCCTGCAAGAATATTAAAACTACAGTCTGGCTGTTCTAACGCAACATCTGAATCAAATTACCTGAGTACTGCTCCAGATCAAGTCAAGAATTGCTGCTTTTCTCAGGCGTTCTCTGAGTAGCGGTTCTGAGGAGTCATCATTTGTGGCATCTAAACAATTTCACTCAGCGTCACACCCCGACGTGCGTGATCCAACCTTTGCGAGGGTAAATAATTCTTCCTTTTGCTTTTCTATCCAGTCCTTGCTGCCCCTCTGACCTTCCTTAACAGAGCGGTCATTCCCTCCATCATGTTGGGTGGTCAGTAACCAGGTTGGTTGTTCTCCACAGGGCTGGTATTTCAGTCCAGATGACTTTTACTGACAAAACCCACCAGGAATCAGATTTAACACTAAAGCTTTCTTCAACACATAATGCCACATCTCCCTTGAGTTGAGCTATTCCATCTTTCCTGTGTAATTTGAGCCCTAGTATTAGAAGGTCCCACTGACAGGCCTGATAAGCATTCCCATTTCAAACCAGCTGTTCCAGTTCCCTGTTGTACTTTCCAGATTTGTCTGTAGAAGCACACAAGCTTCAGTCCAGCCACCCTTTTCTCGCCCCCACACCCCCCACCCCTATTGAAATAGGACTATTTGTTCTAACTACTCTTTGCCATTTCCACTACATTCTGCCAGCCTCAATCCTGACACTTGTTCGAAGGCACGCGAACCTTACAACCTCACCCCAAGGAAACGCATCATCCCACACTGTGTGCTCTTCCACACCTGACACTCTGCCTTTAAGAAACTGTTAAAGATAGCCCTATGAAAGCTTTTCAATTTTAAGTGCCAGAAGCCTGTTTTTTATTTTCTCTAGATGAAGTTTTTCCTCTCTGCACAAGCTCCCTCTGTTCCACATTTCTGTAGTTCCCAGTGAGTCAGAACACTTTCCTCCTATACCACACTCCCAGCTACACAGTGAGAGTCTTGTCTGTCTGACCTTGTATTTCCCTGCAGGTGACAGCAGCAGCATTTCAGGAAACACCATCAGAGGAGCTTTTATCTACCTACACAGAAAACCTAGTTTTGCCTCTCTGCTGCACCTCCCTGAGAGGTGAGTTTCCAAGCAAGCTGTGACCACGCTCCTCCCCAACACTCCCTGTGAGTTTGTCCAGGTATCTACTGATGCCACCACTTCTGCACCTCACAATCCTGCCTTCTCTCATCGCTGAATCAAGTATCTGTACGCCCAATAACTAAATTAACTGGTACAGTAGTCTATCACCTAAGATAAAGATGGCACACAATCAAATCCCTCCAAGAACACAGGACCCACCACACAGATTCCCCCATTTCCTTACCCAAACTGCAAGACCTTCCCAGGGAAGGGAACAAACTCAACTAGCCCATTTACGCAAGTACACGAATATGCCATGTTTGGGATACTTTACCATCTCACCAGATTTATTCGCAGAGCCCTCATTGTTTTAATCCAGCAATAGCATTACTTATTAAAAAAAAAAAAAAAATTAAGACTTAGTAGAAAAATATTGAGAAAACTCCTCCTTTCTACCGCTGATCAGCTCCTAATGTCAGTTCTAAGATGCACTGTACTCATTTCCTCTGCAATGGTACATCCAGGGTCCCTACTAACACATCATGCCGAAGCAGGAGACTATGCATCGATACATCACAGAAATACACCATGCAGCACTTTTGCTCCTGGTTCACAGTATTTGTCTCATCCTATCTTTTAATGTTTGTCTTCCCCTTGTTCTCACAGATGTTACAACAATCCCCAAATGAGTGTTAGTCACATAATGCTAAAAAACATCCAGTTTTGATTCAAGACATCACCTATATCCACATGCACATCTTGGCAGCATCAGAGACCTTTCAACTCTCATTAATACTGATGAATTCTTCCTTGAAAAAAAATAATAAATCAAGTGTGAGGTTACCACAAAGAATAATTCTTCATCACCAGGATTAAGATGAGAGGGAAGAGTCTTTGTGTTCACAACTAACGTAACAAAACAGGTTGGACGCATATCTATTTGTGGTACTTCAAATGAAAAGTTAACCATCCAAACACGCATACAGACAACACAGGGTGACACATCAACACTCATACAGACAATTTGGAAGGACATATTTCACTGTTCATAAACTAATATAAGCTAAATTAGGAAGGCTGTTTTGAAATCACAATGTCTACATTAGGACTTACACCTCTAGCTTTAGACAAGGAACTGTCATTAAATTTGCCAGGTCACTTTCTCCCATAGCTAAGCTTCTGGATGACATAGTGTGAAGCATCCAGTCAAACCTCAGTATAAACTAGAAAAACTAAGAAAAACATAGGCCTGGGAAATCTTTTGCCCAAGTTACAACTAATTTCTCATTCTGTGTTTTTATTGTCTCTTTCTCAAACAGAAAACACTTTTCTTGATGTGGTAATGCACACCCACAGACTGGATTTTTCAGCAGAAATCCTCTCCTGCACCACACTAGTCCAGAGTGTAATTCCTTTGCACGTAGTTAGTCATAAGAAAAACTGGGCTGGAAAGGACTTCTGGAAGTCCCTTCATGCCCCTGTTCAGTTGCTCAGAGCCTTGTCCAGTTGAGCTCTGACTATCCCAAAGGCTGGAGACTCTACAACCTCCCCCAACAACTTCTTTCAGTGCTTAACAGCTCTCAGGGTGAAGAATTTATTATGTTCTTACAAGAAATTTTCCTTACAACCTCCTGGGCCACTTGTGGTAACTGCCTCTTTGCCTTTCACCGTGCACCTGAGAGCCTGGCTCCAATTTCTCTACAAACCCTTCCCCGGGCTACACAAGCCTTGCTCCCCAAGCCCTTCCGTGGTGAAAAACAAATTTATTTTTGTTTGTTTCTTCTGAAGAAGTTTTAGTAAGTCTATTCACATTTTGCAAGAGGGAAACGGCCTCTCTTTTGCCTAGTTAAAGTCTGTATAAGTCAAGGATTGGTTATGAATGTCCCTTCCCAGTCAAAAATTGCCTCTTTCCCCACCAAGAATTCATCACAACCTGAAACTGAGGTATGAGTAAAGTTCGGTCCTCTCTACAAACGAACACCAATCCCAAAACCCTTTTTTCTTTTTTTTTTTTTTTTAAAGCCGAGCACCACGTCTACCACTGACCCTCCTTCGGCCGCGGCACGGGGATTTAAGCGCGGACTTAAAACGTCGACCCTGAAGAGAAACGGAGGTGGGGGTCAGCTAGCGTTGCCGCAAACGCCTCTCCCCAAACCCCCCGCACGGACTGAAACCACATTTTCGGTCTCCGGCAGAAAGCCTCGGCGGCTCGCTGGCCACAGACCAAGAGAGCAACCCTCCTTCCCTCCGCCTCTGCCCAGCAGGACTGGAGCCCCGCCGCCACCGCTCCCGAGATG